CTCGCATGCCGCGTATCGGCCGCTGCTGAATTTGATCTGCCACGCGGCCAAGGGAGAAACTGTCGGGATGGGCTGTGTCGAAGGAGGCGGAATGTTTGAACCGCGCTCCCTGGACAGATCTGCAGCGCGCGCGCGCCTGGGTTGCAGTTCGTTGCGCCCCCCAGCGCGGGCAGTTGCTGCAGCGCGTCGGGCGCGCGGGCGGGGGCGGGGGGGTCGCGGAACGGCGCGCCGCAAAAAACGAAACGAAAATTACTGTGGCGCTTGGGCTGGGGGAGGGGGCTGGAGGCCCCAGAGCGCCTCGCAGCCGGCAAGCGTTCCTGCGACATGGCGAGCTCCGCGCCCATAGCATCGTCGGGGACAACGTCGCGCCCCGCAGACGGACTGTCACCAACTGCGCGCCGCCCAAAGAGGCGCGTCTTGAAGCGCACCAGAACCTTGCAGTGACATAGTCGGCGCTTCCTCTCCCTCAAGAGACCGCGAACGGCTTCGACGCCGACGCTGGCGGGCAGGCACCCCCCAGAAATAAGGAGGAAAATAACGGGCCGCCTGCCCAGCGAGGCCCGTCGCCACGCGCTGCCTCGGCTCCGAAGCCGCCGGTTTGGCGCCCCCCGGAAATTAAGAGAGGAAGGGGCGGGCCGCCTGCCCGCGCGAACAACTCGCCATGCGCGGCTTCGGCTCCACGGCGAAGCCGAAGGGCCAGCATTCCCGCCGCAGTGCGCAGGGGGGCAGCAGGTCGCCTGCCAGAAGGGACAAGTCACCATGCGCAGCTTTGACTCTAAAGCGGACGGGCTGGCATCCACGAGAAATCGGGAAGGGGGCCCGAATGCGCAAGTCGCCATGCAGACGTCCGGCTTCAAAGTCGACTGGCTGACGCCCCCGCAGAGACGGGGGGGGGCGGGGCAGGCTGCCCGTCCAGGAAGGCCAGTCGCCACGCGCACTTTCGACTCCACAGATGACGGGCTGGCGCCCCCGTGATATGAAGAGGGGGGGCGCTGCCCGCCAGTCCACGTGGGCAAGTCGCCGCGCGCGGCGTCGATTCCACAGCCCGCGCCGCGTCGATTCCAAAGCCAGCGGGCTGGCGCCCCCAAGAAATCGGCAAGGAACGAAGCAATCCGCCTGCCCAAAGAGACCGTCCGAAGTCGAATGGGGGGCAGGGTTTGCCCTGTACGCCGCGCGCAGGGCCATCGTGATGCGCGGGCAACGCGCCCGAGAGGGAGAAGGAACAGGCGTCGGGGAAAAGGGGGGGGGGGCGAGGGGAAGGCAAGGGGGGGGGAACGCACTTTACGTTTGGAATCTGCAAATCGATGGTCGCCTTCGCACTCGGCGGCCTCAGGGCCTCAGCGACGGCTTCGCCGCATATGTGTTTTGCGAATTCATGTGGCGCGCGCGTGGAAATCGATTCCTTGTCTCGATAATAAGGCGCGGCGTTGCGCACTTTCCCACCGTTCCTGGGCTTCAGCGGTGCTCGCCCCGCGCCTGGGTATCGTGGTCGAGCTGTTGTTCTCATCCGCGTTCCTAAAATTGCGCGCCGTTGGCGCTCGTCGTGGCGGTCCGCGACGCGGCGCTCGAAGCGGTGCTCGTGCCGCTCGTGGACGTGAGGGCAGAGCTGGTGTTCTCCAGCGTGATGCTGCAAAAAGATCGCGATGCTCGTGCCCGTCGCGTTGCTCGCGCTGTGGTGCTCGAGGCAATGCTCGCCCCGCTCGTCGGGGTCGAGCTGCTGCTTTCCGGCGCGCTGCTCGACGTCGACGCGCCGGCGCCCGTCGCGGTGGGCAGCGACGCGGTGCTGGGTCGCCCCCCTCGTGGGCGTCAGGGCCGAGGCGCGGTTCTCCGACGCGCAACTCAACGGCGCGCAGTGCCGGTGCCCGTCGAATTGGTCGGCGACGTGGCGTTCGAGACCACTCTCGCCCCGCGCATGGGCGTCAGGGTCGAACTGGTGCTCGCCGACGTGCTGCTCCCCATTGGGACGTCGATGCCCGTCGCGTTACTGGTGCGCGCCGTGGTGGCCAACGAGGCGGCGCTCGAGGCAGTGCTTGTCTCCCTTGTGAACGTCAGGGTCGAACTGCTGCTCTCCGACATGCTGCTGCGCATCGAAATGTTCGTAACAGCCGTGCTGCTTGGCGACGCGGTGCCCGAGGCTGTACTCGTCCCGCTCGTGAAACCCAATTCGGGCTGCTGCTGTCCGGCGCGCACGTCGACGCGACGACGCGCTGCTGGTGCCGGTTGTGGTGGTCCGCGACGGGCTGTTGCCCTCCGAAATGCTGCTCAAAATCGAAGGGTTCGTGCCCGTCGCGCTGCTCAGCAACGCAGTCCTCGAGGCAATGCTTGTCGGGCCTGTGGGCGCGAGGGCCAGGCTGCTACTCTCCGACGTGCTGCTCAAAATCGATTTGATTATCCCAGTCGTGGCTTGAGGCTGGTCTCCAGCTTCTTCTCGTTACCGCGCGCTGAACAGCGCCTAAGCCTGCCGCCGCGGCTCGGCCGTCTGGCGGCCTACGCGCTGACCGCTGCGCTGTAGCCGATGGCGCTGTCTTCCAGCTCCCTGTTGCCGCATCGCTAGGCAATGCTGGAGCCTCCTGCGACGGGTCACCCTTCTCGCGCCGCAGACGCTGATCGCAGCGCTGCAGCTGTTGAGGCTGGTCTCCAGCTTCTTCTCGCCAGCGCTCGCTGAGCAGCGCCAGCGCCTGCCGCCGCGGCTCGGCCGTCTCGCGGCGCAGGCGCTGACCCCAGCGTTGTAGCCGATGGCGCTGGTTTCCAGCTTCCTCTTGCCGCAGCTCGCTGAGCAGTGCTGGAACCTGCTGCGGCGGCTCACCCTTCTCGCACCGCAGACGCTGATCCCAGCGCTGCAGCTGTTGAGGCTGGTCTCCAGCTTCTTCTCGCCGCAACTTGAATGAGCAGCGCCAAAGCCTGCCGACACGACTCGGTCCTTTCGCGGCGCACGTGCTGATTCCAGTGTCGTAGCCGATGGCGCTGGCTCCCAGCTTCCTCTCGCAACGGCTCTCTGGATTGCGAAAGCTCCCCCACCAGACGCCGCGAACGTCGGAGGTCCATTCCCCTCCGCCCGTGCCGCACCGCACACGTGCAAAATAATAACCAAGACTTCGCGGTCGGGCCCCCGTCCCGAAGGATCGTGTGGGAGGGATCCCGACGTTGTTGACGCTCGCCGCACGGGCTTTCTAGGGACCCGACGGCGTACTGCCCGTTGCGCTGCGGCTGGGCCTTCGGGCCGAAGGGTCGTATGGGGCTCTGCGGCTGCCCGCGCTTGCACCCACCCTGTCCCCGTTTGCATCGGCAGCCCCGGGGCAGGTGCAAAGGGCCCTTCTCATTGACCCGCCGCCGCACGGCGTCGAGAGCGCAGGCCCAAAAGCCAGCTTCAGCGCCAAACCGCTGCTCTGAAGCAGCTGAGCGCCTGAGCCCAGCTGGGCACAAACGTCGCGCAGTAGAACAAAGCACACTTACATGTTGGCGCACGGGGGCTCGTCTAGGACTCGCCCTTTGACGCGAGATCCCCTCACGATGTATTTGAGACTCGCACTTTAATGTTCTGCCTGCCCGACCCGCCCGTTAAAAGGTCCGCCTACTGTCCTGTCCGCCCGCCCGACCAATCCGTTAGGTGCGCCCGCTCGCTTGCTTGGAAACCCGCCCGCCCGTTTGAATGCCCCGCCCGCCCGGCCCGCCCGTGAGGGTGCGCCCATTCGCTTGCTTGGAAACGCGCCCGCCCGTCAGGGTCCGCCCGCTCCACTCGGCCCTTGGGGTCCACCCGTCCGACCCGCCCGTGGGGTCCGCCCGCCCGACCTGCTTGTGTTGTCCTGTCGGGATGTGCCAGTGATGTGAAAAAGAGGTCCCCAGAATGGGGTGCGTTCGTAGACGGAAAGGGCGGGCGTCAAGAGTTTGGGGTATACATGTTGAGTAACACGCGAGCGTTGAAGAGCGAACTTTCTGAAACTGATGGTTGTTGCTGTGATCATCGTCGCCCTCCAGAAGACAGGAGAGAGAAGGATGGGGGATGGGGATCAGGAGGAACAGGACGAGGACCATGAACATGATCAACCTGCGGAGCAGGTGGGGGGTCAGGATCAGGAGGGTGAGGCACAGGAGGATCAGGAGGCAAACTGAAGACGAGTCGACAACCCATCGAGCAATCGAATCGAATCGCTGGCCTCTCCATGTGACTTGTGCGCCCGAACAAACATCAACAATCGCCAGCACGGGCGAGATCCTGGCACGCATTTGCCTCGACAAGACGATGTGTCTTGTGGATGCATCTTCTGTGTGTAAACTCTTTATTTACCCCTCTCTCTGTGTCTAAACACCGGCCGCTCCGCATCACGGGTGCAACAACCACAACCATCATAGTCGCCGTGATCATTGTCATGATTATCCTTACCTGCGTGCACTATCCTAACATCGGTGTCAGAGTCAGTATGCCACCGTCATATCCACCACGAACCATAATCATCGCAGCTCCGATATGCGCGATTTGAACGAGGAACGAACCCATACCTACGACGAGTCAACTGTTTCGAGTTACTTGCTCCAAACTTCTCGACCAGGGACTGTTTTTCATTTCGAAAAGTTTTCTGATGGTCTCAAGGTATGGAACCGACCTCCCGAAGCCGAATATTGTGAAAAACCTCGGGCGCAACTTCTCCGGGTCGCCAGCGGTCTTTGTCGCGCAAGTTGAATCGAACCTCTGCAAATCTCGCCCAGATGCGCTTTAGCCAGAATTCGAAGGGTGATCCAGCCGTGGCGACGAGAAGCCTCTCAGATGCCCCGAAAAGCCCAGAGAACACACAACCACGCCAAGGAACTAGAATTCCAGAGTTTTTTGTTCCCTGGCTATTCATGCTGAATCGCATTTGATGATCCTGGATCCCCGTCAGGCTCTCCCAGGATCCCAAAATAGGAACAACTGCCCGTCGTAGGTGTTACAAGACGTTGGAGGTCTGGGGAGCTGGAAACGAATCGCGGTGCCCAAATAATGCTCTGGCTTCCCCCAAGGGTACCTGCTGGCGGCCTCCCGCAGCTGCTCCGCGTGCTCTGGCGCCACCTTGGCCTGCGGGGAATGGGGAGCCGTCGTCGTCGTCGTCGTCGTCGTCGTCGTCGTCGTCGATCCACATTGTGGGACTTGCGTGGCTCTTATTGGCCGGGAAGCTTCTCGTGGCCATGGCTGGACTCGCGTCGATATTGCGTAGTCAAAGCGCACCTGGACAGACCGCGGAACAAGAATGATATGTATCTTTGATCCTCGATCCCGAAGGTCGTCCACGCCCTCGTCCATAGAACGCTGAAATGCCGATATCTCTCTGGGGCCCTGGTCTTGCGCACCGACTTCTCGTGTGGAGAGCACACACAATCCGTTGTCTGCACGACTGTCGAGTAGGGGGGGTTAGTAGAAGGGTAACGGATCAGCTCAAGTACGTAGCTGGTTCTCCCAGCGCCTCCTGGTGCGGGAGGTTTGAGAGGCGCCAATGCATCGATGAAGGCGCCCAGTGGCGGGGCCAAGGGCCAAGTACCAGCTGCATGCAATAGATTTCGCGACCCCCCCCCCCTTCCCCTATCCCCCCTTTCGGCCGACCCGGATCGTCTCCGACGCCTGGTTTTCGGGTCCCGGGCCTCCGGCGGCCGCTCGGAGCGATCTGAGCACCTCCGGAGCGCTCTCGCCCCAGGCGCAGCTGGAAGACCGCCCTCGCCCTCGCACCTCGCACCCCGAGCCGCCCTCTTCTCTCCTGTCGAGCTCCTGGAGACTCCCGAGGGGCTCGACTGCGACGGCGGGCAAAGGGGCGGCCCTCGGGCGGAGCCCCTCGCCCGCCGGGCGGCCGTCGGGTGCGCCGCCGCGCCTGCTCGCGGAGCGCTGGCAGCAGCAGGCCCTCGGCGGGGCCGGGGGCGATCGGCGGCCTCCGGTGCGCCACCGCCAGCAGCGCCTAGCGCATGGGGCTGGGGGGGGGGGGCTTCGCTCCCTCGTGGCTTCGCGCTCCCCCCAGCGGCCCAGCCAGAAACGAGGCCCGGGGGGAGTCGTCTGGAGGAGGGAAGCTCCAACAGAGTGTCCAGGGGTCACGGGTGGCCACATCCCTCGACGCTTCGCGCTTCCCCAGGGGCCCATCCAGAAGCGCTGCCCGTGGGGAGCTCCAACAGAGTGTCCACGGGTCACGGGTGGCAAAAGGTTCCAAGCTCGTGGTCCTCCTTGTCTTGTGCCTACGAGCAGGAGGGGGAGGGAGGGAGGGATGGATGAGGACGAGGAAGAGGATCGACGATCGAGGCCTTGGGGCGTTTTGGAGTTTTTTCTGGCCTCCTCCTGGCAACTCACCGCCTCGAAATTCTCGCCAGAACGCACTCCGGGAGAGGCCCGGGTCGACTTGTGACGGTGCAGATGGAAGGAAGACTCGAACCACTGGCGGGTTGGCTTTTTCACTCCAGTCTGTTTTGGGCCCGAAAGCTTCCAGAAACCGTTTTCGGGCCGTAAGGCCATCAGAAAATTATCCTGAATGAAGAGCCAGCAGCTGGACGGTTAAAAGCTTTGGGGCCCACGGAATGAGCAAACTCATCCGCCTGAGGTTTTGGAATGAGGAGGGATGGGATGGCCAGTGCAGGCCCACGCGTAGGCGATGCTGGTAGTAATACACCCTCCCGCCCCAGCTCCCTCCTCGTGAACCCCCCCGCTCCCCCCCCCCCGCTCCCCCCCCCCCCCCCGCTCCCCCCCGCCCCCCCCCCGCTCCCCTCCTGGTAGTAATACGCCCTCCCGCCCCAGCTCCCTCCTCGTGAGCCCCTGCGTGCGTCCCTTCTCACCACTGGGACCCCCCGCCCCCCCCCCCCCCCCGAAGGGCGAGCGCCCGGCGGGCCTGCCATTCTGGCGACGGCCCCGTTCTGAGAATGAACTGCACCAGCGCGACGTGACCAGGCAACACACCCAACCCGGACTCCGCTTTTGACTACCCACCAGACCACCCCAACCCAACCCGAAGACCCGAATTTCGGGTTGGGGGGGGGGGGGTAAGGGTTCCACGCGTGTTTTTTCGATGTTCCCCGACCCCCCCCACTAGAAATAGAGGGTAAATCTGAGCCTTCGGGTTGGGTTGGGGTGGTCTGGTGGGTGGTGAGCTTCGACAGAGGGGCCGCCCCAGGCAACACAGCTCGCACAGACGCTGCCTGCTGAAAGCGCCGGCCTTTCCTGAAAACGCCGGCCCCAGGCAACACATCTAGGGCGGCGAGATCTATACATATCCACTGCTCCCTGGCCAGGCCCAGCCTGAACCCAGCAGCGGTGCATACGCCACGCCCTCCTGGCTTGGCCAGGGGGGCGTATACACAGCTCGTGAGCTCAGGATGGGCCTGGCCGGGGAGCAGTGGATATGTATAGACCTCGCCGCCCGAGCATGGTTTAGTGAAAACGACTTCGGGCCCAAACCTGGCGGGCGCAAGCCTGCAAAATAACGACCACGGCGCCCTCACGAAAACCGAAAACGGACAAGTCACTAATCGACGTGTCACTGCTGGGGGTTCTGTCCACCCCCGAGAACTTCGACCAGAGGGCGGTGGGCGGTGGTCCGGTGGGCGGTGAGCTTCGACAGCGGGGCCGCCCTCCACCCGTGCAGCCGCCTGCATGGCTCCCTCGGCACCCCCTCCCGGGCGAAGACCTCACTCTGGGCAGGAGCCGCCCCCTCCGGCCGTGCAGCTGTTGCACAAAGCTGCACTTTTTTTTTTTTTTTTTTTTTTTTTTTTTTTTTTTTTTTTTTCCAGGCCACACGGGGGCACACACGGCGCGCGCATTGAGCGCCCCCTCGGGCAACGTCGCCCGCTCGGGGTTCCTGCGAGCGCGGCCAGAACTCCGCTGTTGCACAGAGCTGCACCTTGGGTCGTAAGCGTGGGGGCGTCTCAAACGACAACCCCAATCCGACGATTACCCGCCCTCCGTATCTGTAACTGCTGCATGCTTTCACACTCTGGGCTGCATTGTTGAAGAAGTCGCAAGCGATAGTCCCCTGTTGAACAAGGGCCACCCTCCATCCTTCTGGCTTGTGAATGCTCGTCAGACGGATGTGCGCGGCGATGATGCGAGAACCACGTTTTGAAAACGAAGTGGGTGGTCGGGGAAGGATGGAGGAGGACGAGGGAAAGGGAGGCAACGCCACTGAAGATCGACGCTTCCTGCGCGCCGATCTGCAACGGTGCGTCCACAACGGACCTCCAAGCGCAACTAAAACACCACGGCACACGTTTTCTTTGAAAACCTTTTCTGGGCGATACGACCTTCAAACGACGACCTGGGTTGAAACGCCTGTCCTGGGGATAGGGTGGAAGTCTTTTGGGGCCGAGCCGTGAACAAATCAGGACGTCGGATGCCTGGGTCTGCGGCGGAGAGGTTCGACAACACTGCACCTCATGATCCCTCGGAACACCCCTTAGGTTTGCGAAGGGAGCACGGGTTTCTGAAGGTTCTCGATTCTTTTGGGAGCTCCTGGATGTCTCCTTGTGGGCTCCTGGAGAATGTGGGGGAGAGGGGGGATTAGGAGGAGAGGGGATGACAGTTCTATAAAGATCTGAAAGTTTTAGCGCACGATTTCTCGAAAGGTGCGGAGGGTTTTTGGGGGTTCTGGGCTCCCACATGGGTGAGGAGTAGGCGAAGGATGTATGCGACGGAGGGGGCGGAAATTGGATGAGTCTGGAGTTTAGGGGGAAGAGTCTGAAGTTGGGGGGAGGAGGACGACGAGGACGAGGAGGACGAGGACGAGGAAGAGGAGGGGGAGGGGGAGTGGGATGGGGACGAGGAGGTAAAGCAGATGCAGGTGAATGGGGGGCGGGTTCCCAATCCAAATGCAAAAAAAACAGAAATACCCCTGCGTGGATGTATGTATGCACGCTTTGCTGCCGCACATCTCTGCCTGCGTGCCCAGCGGCGACTGCGCCGCGACAAGGCCGCGTTAAGCATGTGGGGAACTCTCCTGCAAACATCGGTATCGAACGAGTTCGGGCCGAACCGGGCCACACCATTGCATGGCGTACCTCGGCCCCATCGGGGGCCCTTTCTTTATCAGATTGGGCAGGCAAAGACGGACACATCCAACACCCCGAAGTGGGGCTCGGGCAAAAGAAGCCGAGGAGCAGAGGGAGGAGGACGAGAGAGGCGAGGGGGGGGGGAGAGGAGGAGCGGAGGGAGACGCGGGAGAGTGGAGCCAGGCAGGCAGACTGGCGAAGCCAGAACAATTGACGCACCAAATGCGGGCCGACTGCGCGACTCTTCACGGCTACTCTATCAACGTTATTGGTGTGCGGTATGTTTCGGTCCCATCAAGATGACAACTGCTATCTCTTCGAATCCCCCCCCTCTTCGCCCAATCAAATTGACAATGGCGCTTCTATTTGTTCTGGCGCCCAACCAGCGCCGCATTCCGTTAGCAGCGCAAAGCAAGCCTCAACCTCGAGACGTTCTCCGACCTCTGAGCATGGATTGTTAACAGATGTACTCGCCGCTGCGTTTGCGCGGCTGCGTTGGTCTCCAGGGTCGGTTCCACCTCGGGTATCTGTCCGTGCGTTTCTATGCCCGAAGGGAACATATCTAGTTTGGCCGAACCTGCTCAAGACAATCGTCATACCCGATAGCTGCAATCCGTTCATCATGATAAACAGCTGTTTCTAAATTTTGGTCAACCAACCTATTTTGAACATCCTCGTGGAAATCCTACGCCGTAGCTTTTCGGCCGAAATTCCACGAAGAATACCCGATGCCATTCTGTTTGAAAACAATTGAAATGTAATCCAACGCATGAACGCGTCGCATAAATTCGGTTCTTCGCAAACGCTTTCAAACAATGATTGTATCCCATGCGTCATGAACCCGTGTTCTTGAAAGAACGCGCGGCCCATTGCTAAAACGCACGCCGCATCACTCGATTGCCTTGTTCGACTTCCTGGGTTCCGTGAGCCTCTCTTTGATCCACCGGTTGACCTTTTTTGGGAGCTGTGTCAATGCAAACCCCATCCTGAACACGACCCACATCACCACTTGCATTGACGTGCTGTCAAAAGGATGCGAACATTTATGTTCGGCACACTCGTCATCTGTGTTGTTTCTGGCATCGTGAAACAATGGTCAGACACACGTTCTCATCCGTTGATCGTGGCGGGCATGCGTGTTTCTCGTCCACATGCGGCGTTTGCTGCTCGACGAAACAACTTCTTCAAGGGTCGCACACTCGAGTGGCGGCACTGCGAGAGAAAGCCAATCCTCCGACATCAACACATGAAACGACTACCTCCGCTCACCCGAAGGAGCATGTTTTTTGTATTATCCGCGATGACGCGCGTGATCGGGGGGTGGGGGGGTTGGCCCCCTCCCGATCACATCACGGCGGATTTCGGCCTCCGGGGGCCATTTTCGAGCCCCCGGGTCCTCGGAAGGAGGAAGATAAGGACAAGGGACAGGGAGCAGAGGACAACAGCGGAAAACAGCGACGACGACGAATTCCTGGGAACCCTTGAGATTCTCTGGAAACCCTGGAATATTCCTTGAGACATGTGGGGGAAACAGCGTGACGTGATCGGGGGGGGAGGGGCGGGGCCGATCACGAGCGTTATCGCCCAGACTAAAAAAGGCAGGCTCAAGTCCGACGGACAATAAGATTGACCCCAGGAAAATCGCGGGAGGAAATTCGGTATGCTTCCTGCGGGTTGGCTGCGGCTCGCTGCAAGCCTCACGGCGACCGAGGAGGAGGAGGAGGAGGAGGAGGAGGGAGAAGGTGGAGGGTAGGGAGGATGACATGGGGGCAGGGACGATGCTCAATAAAGTTGTGAACATCGCCAGCAGCGCCTCCGCTACCGCGCCCTGCAGCGCGTGGCGGTCGGTCAGGGCGCGCGAGAATGCCAGGCAGCCGAGGTGCGGCAACACGAAGTCCTCCAGCGTCTCCACGGTCGCGGGTCCCGCGGTGCCCTCGGAGGCCAGGCGCGTGAACGCGCGCACGACCTCCGCCAGCACGTCGGGGTCTCCGCGCTCTATGAGCTGCTCCAGGTGGGACTCGATCTGCCTGCCGAGCTCGCCCTCCAGCCCTCGGGGCCAGAGCTCCCCGAGCCCTGCCACCGCGCGCCGCTGCACCGCCGAGTCCTCGTCGCTGCCCAGCGTCAGCAGGGCGGGGAGGACGTGGCGAGAGGCCACGGCGGCAGGCGCCTCGGGCCCCTGTGCCAGGGCCGACAAGGCCACGGCGGCTGCCAAGCGCATGCGCGGATCCTCGTGGTGCACGCACGGCCACAGCGCCGACATGGCTGCCGCGGCGACGGCAGGCGAGGCCGCAGCAAGGCTTCGCCAGACGGCGCGCAGCAACGAGGCTGAGGCCTCACTGCTAAGACTCCAGCCACATGCCTCGCCAGAAAATGCCCTCAGCGTCCCAACGCCGAGGGCTCGCACCGCCTCCGCTGGAGCAGCTGGCGCGAGCACGTGGCAGCACACCAGCAGGAAGGAGGTGCATGGCGCAGCGACGTCGCCAAGCTCATTCGGAGCAGCGGCAGCCTCTGCGCAGCCGTCGCTGGGTGCGGTGGGAATCGGAGCAGCGCCACTGCAAGAGAGCTTGCGCTCTGCCTCCTCCGCCAAGAGGGCCCGCAACTGTGGGACGACAACGCGGCGCCGGAACTCCCACCCGAGCACGGCGCTCAGCAGGCGCAGCCAGTGGCTGAGGATCGCCAGCGGCGCCTCCGAGGCGGGCCGCTGCCAGTCCACCAGGCGGGAGAGCCCGAGCACGAAGGGCAGCAGGCCCCCGACGAGCCAGGCCAGAAGCGCCGCCGCCTGGTCAGCTGCAACAGCCCTGGTCGCCGCGGCGGCGGTGGGCGCGGGCGGCGGCGGCAGCGCCGACACATTCTCGCATCCCTCGCGCGCTCCGGCTTCCGCAGGCCGCCCTGGCGAGCCCTCGGGCGGAGCGCCCACTGCGTCCGGCGCGGGGGCCTCGTCCCCCTGGAAGCTGTGCGTGACGCGGCTGATGCGAGACATCAATCGCGACAGCGGCGGCTCACACGCGGGCGCGGCCGGGCGCGCCGTGCCTGCCTCTGGCAGCTCCCCCCTTTCGTCCCGCGCGAGGCCCTCCAGATGGTCTTCCAAGGACGCCAACGCACCGCCCACGGAGCGCGCCCAGCCTGCGAGGCGGCCGCTGCGCTTGTCCTCCTCCTCCTTCTCCTCCTCCTCCTCCTCCTCTGGCGGCGGTGGAACGGGCTGCTGGCGCCGTGCCTCCTCCTGCGGGGCCGCCCGCGGTGAGGCTGGGCATGGCGGCGAGCGCCCCTCGCTGGTCACGCCGCTGCCCCCGTTGACGTAGCTATTACAGAAATCGGAAACGCAGCGGCGCAGCGCCTGTCTGTTGCCCAAATTGCCACGGCGGTCGCGAGACGCCTCGCAACAATGCACAGGAGGCTCGGCTGCGTCGCCGGTGCTGTCCGCCGTCCGCGGCGAGGGGGCGAAACGCTTTGCCATGGCCTGCCAGGCGCGCTCTTCCCGCTGCTGCTCGATGGCTACGGGCGTCGCCTTCTCCCAGATCGCGTCGGCGTCTGAGGGAAGCCACGCCACGTCGTCCTGTGCCTCCGACTCGTAGGGCGCCTCGTCGGGCGGGGTGCCGCACACCTGGTCCACCAACGACTGCAGCTCCCCGACAAGCGCTCGGGTGAACGCGCACATCAGCTCGAGGAGCAATGCCAACCGTGGCCCGCCGACGCCGTCGGCGCCATCCTCGAGGGCCGCCCCGGCCGCGCGCGGCAGCAGCCGCGCCCAGAGCGGCCAGTAGGGACCTGGCGACCCTGTGGCCGCTCCCAACATCGCCCTGACCAGGCGGTGCCCAGCACATAGCGCGGCGAGGTCTCCCTCCTGCAGCGCGCGCACGCACACCTCTGCCAGGCACTCGAAGCCGGCGCAATCCTCCAGAAGGCAATGCCAGGTGAGGGCCCGAGGAGCCGCGGAAAACGCCGCAGTACGCACCGCCGGCTCGGCGTCTGCGGCCAAGTCGGCGAAGCTCCGGGCGCAGACGGACCACCACGCGGGCTCCGTGCAGCGGCCGTCGCTCGCGGCCGCGAGTGCCCCGCACATCGCCGCGAGAACGTCTGGCAACAGCGCGCGCTGCCACGAGGGGACCGCCATCCCCCGCCCTCGGGCGGCGCACTCCGCGAACGCAGGCAGGACCTCGGCGGCCAGCCGGTCGCGCGGCAGCCGGGCGCACAGCGCCGCCAGGCCACCCGCCACGCACAGCCGCCGCTCCAGGGACGCGGGCTCGCCGGCGCCGAGCTGCAGCCACAGCACCGCCAGCTCTGGCAGGCTGGGCGCGCCGCCCCCGCCCCCGGGCGGGGCGGTGGCCGCCGCGAGGGCCAGCAGCGGCGCCAGCAGCAACCGCTGCGCGCCCGCGGTGCACCGCAGCAGCGGCGCGACCGCCCCGCGGATCAGTGCGGCGGCGGGCGCCGCGGCCGCGCCGCCCGCCTCGGCGGCGTCGAGCGCCTCCTCGACGGCGTTCATCACGCCGTCCACGGTCCGAGCGCGGCGCCCGCACGCCCCGTGTTCTTCGGGGGCCGGGCCCGGCCACGCCGCCTCGGTGCCGACGGCGACCGACACGCGCGGGGGCGTCGGCGGCGGTACCCGCTCTGCGGCCAGGCGCGGCTGCTCCTGGGGCATCCCGAAACTGGTTGCTGAGTTTTTGTTGCCCACGGCGCTCGAGGACCGATCGTCGAGGTGTTCGGATGTGTGTGTGTGTGTGTGTGTGTGTGTGGCCCTTCTTGGGCCTCTGGACGCCTCCAGAATTGCTGGTCCTAGTAGCTTGGGCCTCGGCCCGCCCCCACGCGCGGAATTGCGAGGGGAATGCGCTTTCGACCGTTGAAGCAGGACGACGCTTTCCACAACATCCTATTTTCACCGAGCGGCCTCTGCACCCTTCCTCATCGTCATCGTCCTCGCCACCGCCATGGTCGTCGCCATCGCCGTCCTCTAACTCCTCCCTCTCCTCCACCTCCACACCCTCCTCCTCCTCCTCCTCCTCCTCCTCCTCCTCCTCCTCCTCCTCCTCCTCCTCTTCGTTCTCCTTCTCTTTCTCCCCCCTCCTCCTTCTCCGTTCTTCTCCCGTAGCCATTTTGGCTCCAGGCCCCATGCTCGGGAGGCTTTCCGCCTCCGTGCATCCAGGGCATACCCTTGCCAGGGCGGGCAAGGCTGTTCAGCCTGGCAGTGATTTTTTGCGCGGCCCTTTCCGTGGGATTGGGGCCCGCACATCAAGTTTGATTCGAGCCTGGGCGGACGTGCTCCGCACCGCCGCCCTGCGCTCAGCACCACGGCATGCCTCGCTCTCGCCCGTGCACGGTGTGCGGCCGGTGTGGTGGACGGGTGTACGACTGGAGGCTGCAGAGGTCAGGCGGCTGGTGAGACAAGTGCGACGATGCCATCTCGGCATCGTAATGGCAGGGCCAACAGTCCCAGGAGACTCGTGCGGCCAGGCCCCCGTGGTGGACTACGAGACGTTACCGGCGCCTGAGCAAGAGCTGGAGGCACTCATCAAGAAGTTCGAAACCAGAAAGGGCAGCTTCAAACTGGACGTCAATTTGCACGGCCTCCGCGACTTCAAAGAGCAGGTGGGGAGTGCGACCCCGCAGAGACTCAAAAGGACGACGCCCCAGAGCTCGGCGCTCAAGCAGGTGGTCAACAAGAAGGAGCAGGCGCAGAAGGACTTGGATGCGGCGACTACGGCGCTGCTGGCGGCCCAGAAGTTGGATGACGCGATGCAGGGGCAAGGCGCCGCCGCCCAACAGATGAAGGAGGCAGAGCCGGAGGTGGACGAGGCCTTGTTTGAGGACATCGAGGACTACCAGCCTGAGGACAGGCAGAAGTTGCTCAAGTTCAAAGAGGACATGCAGGCATTGTCGGTACTGGTCAGTAGCGCGCACACAGAGTTCAAGCAGTTCGACGAGCTCGCGAAGCAGGCAAAGGAGATGCAGAAAGCTCACTTGGAAGCGAAGCGCAAGAAGGTGGGCACGGAGGACACGGCGGTTATGGTACCCATTGGCACGGTTGAGGCGCCTGCGCAGGAGGAGCAGAAGGTGGACGCGCAGCAGGAGGAGGAGCCGCCAGACAAGGAGGAGGCAGCCGCTGCAGCTACCCGTCGCAAGGCCACCCTGCGGAGGCTTAAGGACGAGTCCAAAGCCCGTCTGCGGGCCAAGGTCCCAGCGGGTTCCTCAGCGAGGCTCGCGACCAAGAAGGACAAGGACGGCGACGACGCTATGGGCGATGGCGGCGCGAGTGGTTCTCATCGCTAACATCGCGTTCGCCAACATCACCACCTGGGGCCGATTGGCCCGAACGTACCTCAACGAGCCCGGCAACAATACGGATCTCTTCATGCTGTGCGAGACGCATGTGGCGCAGAACATTCCGAAGGAGAAAACTATGTTAGCTGGAAATGGATGGAGATTACCGGTGACGGCAGCAACCCCTATGAAGCTCTTGGAGCACGGCACCTCGGGGGGCGAATTCGTTGCCATTCGGTCGCATGTGGCGGCTACGGGTTACGACGAGATTAAGGCACGCATCAAGCAGGAGGGCATGAAGGACCCGTTTCAGGGCTTCTCAGCGGTGAACGTGCACGCGCGCAGCGGCAACCTGGTGCTCATTCCGGCGCGCCTCCTGCCAACGCACGGCCTGGGCGGCGCCAACTTTGACGAGGCGGAGTCCTTGGCCGCTTTCGTCCAGTCCAATTGGCGGACTGGAGCATCCCCTACGGCAAGGTGGGGAGCACCGATTTCATGCAGAAGACTGGCGGCGGGCCCCTGCGGCCTGATGTGGAGGTCACCTGTGACGAGGGTAAGGGCAGTTTGGTAGACTAGGGCGTAGCACGGCGCGATCTACTTCCTCGACTGCGACTGGAAGCGATGCCGAGGGCGCCGTGTAGGACACACTGCGGGCTGCGACTCTTCGCGTGGCAGGATCAACGAGGCCATGGTGGCATCGAACGGCGGCGTTGCCTAGACAGCTCCCCATCCCGACGAGGCCCAAGGCGCAGTCCGCCCCGACGAGCAAGCGCACCCTGAAGAGGCAGGAGGCAGCCAGGAGGAAGAGGTGGAGCTTGGAGACGCACCAGCAGGACATTTTCGACGAAGTCTACGCGGAGGAGCCCACAGAGCAGGAGACCCCCTGCTTCATCCCGCTGGACATGTGGCAGCAGGTTCTCAGGGGCGGCACCCTGGACGGAGGAAATGGGGGCGAACGGCGACTACCTCTACCGCGCCACGGAGGCTGCGAGGTGCAGGAGGGCGTAGTGACGACCATGCACGGCAATTGGGTCTCGGCGGTGGCGTCAGCCACGTTGGCCACGTGCAAGTTTTGACGAGCACCAATACCACCTTTACTAAGGCCATGCTGCGGGCCTCGGCGTGGAGATGGCGAGATCGAGACCTGCGCCTGGCAGGGCGCACGTGCGCTATGCAGCGGCGGAGCATTGGGGCATCTGCACGACGGTGTTTGGCAAGTATATGACCCTGAAGATGGCGAACAAGGGCGGGAAGCAGCAACAGACCTGCGCGATGGAGCTCAAGGCGGAGGTGCACCACTTGAAAGGCATGGGGCAGGACGAAGGCTTTGGCAAGAAGGTCACGAAGTCGGAGAGGGAGGATTACTACCTGCAGTTGGGCACGGTGGAGAACAGCACGGTGGACAAGCTCAGTGACCTCTTGAACACGACGGAGCGCCACTACACGGTCGCCCAAGCGCGTGGCCTCACCGCGCAACGCCAACAATTTACGCGATGGGCGAAGCAAGTATGGTCATCGGGACCAGGCGCGCTACGCAGACGTCTCAAGGACAAGGCGGAGGCGCGGATCGAGCTGGCGATCAACTTAGAGAGGCAGGTGGCGGACCTCGACGCGGTTATGGAGCACGAGGCGCAGCGTTGGGATAACATCTGGGAAGATCCCGCCGACACCACGGACCAATTGATGCGTGCCTGGCACACTTACGGAAGGAGGCTCAGGAAGAGGACTTGCCTGACTTGACGGTGGGTCATATTGACACGATCCTCTATTCCGCGGGTGATGCGAAGGCGATGGGGTTCGACGGCATTGGCCCTGGGGTGGTTCGCAGGCTGCCAGTTCAAGCCAGATAATGGTTTACAGAGGTCACCAGATACTGCGAGGAGCATTGTACTTGGCCGAGACAATGTCCAGTCACGCGCTGCGCGTTGGCGGGTGAGCCCAAAGGGGGAGGGGGGGGGCGCGCGCTGGGAATGGCACCTCTGATGCCGAAGGTTTGGAGCAAGGCGCGCGCGACACTGAGTGAATCCTGGTCAGACGGCCTCGCGGACCACTGGGGCACCGCCATCAACGGTTCTTCGGCGATGCGGGTTGGGCTTCTACGCGCGTGCCTTGATGAATCTGGCGTGGAGCTGGGCGTGGCTTCCCTGGCCTTACTGCTGGACGTCGGGCAGTTCTTTGATGCGGCTTCGTTGCTGGCGCTCATGCGCATTGCTCGTCGCGCGGGCTGCCCAGCAGCGTTGGTTTCACTGGATGTGCAATTATTTTTGGCACCGAGGTATTCGCAGAAGAGGCCGGCGTTGAACAGGCAGATCCTGCCTGCGCGGTCGATTTTTGCGGGATCACCGAGGGGGTCGGATTGGCCAAACTGTTTCTGCACCCCATTTTGGATGTTGTTCACAGGCGGTCTCCTGGCGCGGGCCTCTGGACTTTTGTGGATGACACGACGGCGAGGCGCGAAGGTAGTCGTGCTTCGGAGGGAGAGTTAATGATGGGCCCAGCCTTAGGCCTCGCGAAGGTCTGGAGGACCAACGCATGAATATTTCGCCCAAGACAGTGCTGATTGGCTCGAACCCTGAAATCGCGGGGCGAATTGCACGATGTCTTCGGTCTGGAGGTCCACCCGTGACGGCGGCGGCCACAACTGTTGATCTGGGATTGGGCACAGTGGCCGGCAGGGGAAGGACGACGGCAAAACATGCGCAGCGACTGAGGAGAGCGACGATGAGAACTGGTAAGATACGACGTTCGTTTACGACGAGTGGGTGCGCTGAATCGCGCGTGGTCTCTGGAGAGCTGGCGCAGTTCCGCAGGCGCTCCACGGGCGCAGCGCGTTCGGCATGGGCATGGGGGCGGTGCTTC